ATGTTGTGGAATATGACTTTAACTACCTAAAGATGTGTTACATTTGTTTATGTTGTGGAATATTACTTTAACTATATAAAGGTGTGTTACATTTGAAAAAAAAAAAAAAAAAAAGAAAATAGATGTATGCTGTGGGATGTCTTCCTGTATGCTGTGAATGTGTATTGCTGTGATTGGTTGATAAATAACGGTGCATTGGCCTATGGCAGGGCAGGATAGGGTTAGGTGGTACATTTGAACTGAAGATGAGACAAAAAAAGATGGGGTTGGAGGAGATGCCAGCCTGCCCAAAGAGCAACAAAGATACCAGCAGACCGATAATGCCATGGCCACGTGGCAACATAATAGATTAATAGAAATGGGTTGAGTTAAGTTATAAAAGCTAGATAACAAGAAGCCTGACCCATAGGCCATGCAGTTTGTAAATAATATAAGCTTCTGTGTGTTTACTTGGGACCAAGTGGCTGCAGGACGTGGGTAGGAGAGATTCATCCCCATGGGCCAGGCAGGACCTCTCCAGCTACAGTTGCACTTGGATACAATCATATTAAAAGGAAGAGCCCCTGCTCAGAAATAAAAATACCACATTTTCTCTCATTTATGGATCCTAGATCTATGTAATGTAAATACACTAATACACAAACCAACACCACACACACACACACACACACACACACACACACACACACACACGGTAGAAAGGCAGCCAAGGGAGAACGGAGACTGGCAGAGGGGGAGGGGACAGAAAGGGGGAGATATGGGGAGGGATATGGTAAAAGTATGTGATGTACTTAGAGGTTTTCTTTATGAAATTCAGCACTAAGTACAGTGAATATATACCAATAAAATATGTTTAAATTGTTAAGATAGTAAATTTACTACATTAATCATTTTATGTGAACAGTTCCATGGCCATAAGCACTTTCACCATTTTTTTCAAACCATCACCACTACCGATTTCTAGAATGTTTTTCATCATGCCAAACAGAAATTGCATGTATTATACAACTAATTCCCTAATTCTCCCAGCTCTCTCATAACCTCTTTTTCATTTTCTGTCTCCATGAATTTTACTTAAAATGGCATTTTTAAATATTTGCCATATGGTAATGAAGTAATTATATATTATAAATGGAGAAATCAGGTGACAGCCCTTCCACGTACATATATAAAAATTAATTCAAAATAGGTCAAAGTATTAGAAAAAAATTATCATCTTCTGGTATGAAATGTCTCCAAAGTAAAAATGAGAAGACTGGTAACCATCAAGAAACTACGAATAAACACAACAAAACCTTCTAATCCACAAATAGTGTCCTAAACAAAGAATTAATGGGGAGAAAAAAATTGCAGTATGGAATCACACATAGAACTATCACCCAAAACGTGGAAAGATTCCTTGCAAATACATAGCAAAAGACAGACTATTTATGAAAAATAGGGAAATACGTGATTAGAGAATTTACAGGAAAAATTAAGTAAATACATGAAAAGATTGAATATCTTTAAACAAATCTAGAAAGTACAAAGAAAAACAAACCATTCCTTATGTGTTAAGGCTGAGGGTTTCTCACACCCTGGCTTGTGACTACGAGAAAGCAGCATTCTTGTGCACTTTAATAGGAGTTTATCAATCATCAATTTGGGGTTTTTGTTTGTTTGTTTGTTTTTTGAGACAGGTTTCTCTGTATAGCTTTGGAGCCTGTCCTGGAACTCACTTTGTAGACCAGGCTGGTCTCGAACTCACAGAGATCCACCTTCCTCTGCCTCCCAAGTGCTGGGATTAAAGGCATGCACCACCATTGCCTGGCCAATAATCAGTTTTTAATGACAATTTGGAAGCATTCCCTGCATTTGAAAACCAACTGTCTCTCAATTCATTCACTTCACATCCAGGAGTCTACCACAGCATACCAAAGAAGGGCACTTAGCTCTCTGTATCTTCAGTTCACGCACCTGCAGAGTCAACCAAGTGCAGATCCATTGTGCAAATAAAACTGCATGCATATGGAATATATACAGATTCTTTTCCCTCTGTAGTCATTACCCACTAAACAATATATTATACAACTATGTATACACTATTTTAATTGCCTAGGGTATTACATGCAAAACAGATGGTTCATTGCTCAGGTACCCTAACCAAATTGAGGAGTTCCGGTTTCAGTGGGAATACATCATATTCAGTTTCAAAATATAACATAGAGGGCCTGTGAGATGATTCAGCAGGTAGTAACCGTTTATGCCTCCAAGCCTGCTGACCTGAGTCCCCTCCCTGGAACCTCCTCATGAACAGCAACGGCCCATTTCCCTCTCTCAGGATACACAAAATAAATAACTATTAATATACATTTTTATACGGGGGGCTGGAGAGATGGCTCAGCCGTTAAGAGTATTGGCTGCTCTTCCAAAGGACCTGGGTTCAATTCACTTACAACCATCTGTAATTCCAGTCCTAGAGGATCCAACACCACTTCTGGTCTCTGTGGGCACTGTATGCATGTGACACACAGACATACAGGCAGGCAAAACACACATACATACAATATATACATACATGGTATCTATGGTATATCTATGGTGTATATACATGGTAGACATACATGGCATTATGGTATATGTATGGTATGTGTGGTATATAAATATAGTATATGTGGAGTATGTATGAATTGTATATATGGTATGTGTGTTATATGTAGTATATATACATGGTATGTATGGTATATATGTGGTATGTATGGTGTATATATGATATATACATATATGGTGTGTATTATATATATAGATATATAGATGATCTATGGTGGAGTGTGCTACCAGAGAAGATGCCTGGCACCCTTACACAATCTGTGGTCTCCATATGTTCATGTACAAACACGCACACACTGCACACGTGTACACACGCCTACATGAATTTGTACATGCAACACATGCACACACACACAGAGTAAGAAAATAAAGAAGTAAAATATACACAGAAAGGAAAGGGCTTTTACCTGTTCTGGACTCATGTATAGATAAGTCCCTGTTTCCTTTGTTCGAGCTCCATCACTTTCCAGGGCTGTTGCGAGGCCAAAGTCTCCGATCTTTATGTGTCTTTCGTCTACTAAAAATATATTACCTGGCTATAGAAAAAAATAATTAATAGATGCGATTTGAACCGACTATTACCACAGGTCCTAGCAATCTTTTATACTGATTTGTATGGCGTTTATCCTTCCACGGGCAGCCCAAATCAGGGAATTTAACGCCTTGCGTCTCTAAAATGCCAACTGAAGAAAGAAGAAGACGTAAACGACAGTGAAAGTAGCTTGCTTCGCACCTGCCTCCAAATATCAGAATAGCTGTAAGGTGAAGATTCACTTTGCAGGGTCCCAGGAGAGGGATCCAGGACTGGAGGTTGGGTGTGAGTAAAAGTATTTGCTTTCATACACCCTAATCTAGTGAGAGGTCCAGGGAACGGCAGTTAGAGCTCCCCATCCCAGAGAGGGCTAGCCATCCCCCCTCCCCCCGAAGGAATGCCTCAGGTGTGATTCGGGGTCTGATGAGAATGAAAACCCCTGCCAATTTTGAGTCTCTGAGTGGCTCAGTTCTCAGTGATGCTGCAGGATATCCCATGCAGGATTTCTCCCCAGATGCTGACAATATTTTAGTGGCTAGACCTCCTCCACCTTATTAAGTAGAAGTTGATAATTATCACAAAACAACTTTTCTATGCAGTTCCTTTGGTTTTGTTTGGGCGGTTATGGTTTGGTTTGGTTTGGTTTACAAGGTTTCACATGTCCCATGCTAGCCTCAAACTCAATTATGTAGCCAAGGATGACCCTTGGTCATCTGATCCTTTCACCTCCACCTTCTGAGTCCTGGGATTAAGAGGATGAGTCACCATGCCTGGTTTATGCACAGTTAGAGGGCTCCATGAAAGCTAGGCAAGCACTCTAACCAACGAGCTACATCTCTAGTCATTCTAGGATGCAATATTAGGCATATTTAAAGTGTGTGTGTGTGTGTGTGTGTGTGTGTGTGTGTGTGTGTGTGTAGGACAATTTTGTGTCATCAGCTTTCTCTTTCCACCTTCATGTGGGTTCCAGGAACTGAACTTAGATCACTAGTCTTGTACAACAAACATCTCTACCCACTGAGCCATCTCACTGGCCCAAACGTGTATATATGTGTATGTGCGTGTACATGTGCACACATAACAAATAAATAAAGTGGCCACATGGCTGAAAACAGGAAGATTATTGGTGACAAAGTTAATATCTATGCCATTCTTGTAAAGACTCGACATTCAATACAATGTTGGGTTACACACACACACACACACACACACACACACACACACACACACACACCTACAAGAGGGCCTAGCCAAGGAATGAGGGATGAGATGAGGAGCCCAGGGAAATGCTTCTGAGAAGCCCTGTGTAGAAATTAGTAATGAGATTTAAGTTCACTCAGTGGATTTGAACCCAAAGTCAGAAATAGAAGAAGGATATTTGTGTGTGGTAGACGTGGGGAGACAGTGTTCCCAAGCTGAACTGAAGTCGCAGAAGTAGAGCTTTGCTGTGCCCACAAAGGAGATTGCTCCCCCAATCCAGCGGTAGCCTAACTCTGAGAAACTGAAGATGGAATTTCTGTAAATATCTAATCTAAGATAGATGAGACGAGGAGAAATACAAGATTGCTTTTTATTAAAAAGAAAAAACAAGCCTGGCATGGTGGCCCACACCTTTAATCCCAGCACTTGGCAGAAGAGGCAAGTGGATCTCTGTGAGTTCAAGGCCAGCTGGGTCTATACAGAGTGAGTTCTAGGACAGCCAGGGCTGTTACAGAGAAACCCTATCTCAAAAAATCAAAAACTGAAAAAAGAAAATAAAAAATTTTTAAATAAAGTAAAAACAACGATGCTCTGTCTTCTATAATCAGTTACATTATGAATAAATGAAATGTGAGATTATGGAACAGGGAAGAAGTGTGTCAACTTGATCCAGGGAGCAGAGGCTAGGTCAGATGATCTGGCTGGAGCTAACCTCCTTAGCACAGAGGTAAGATATGGAGAAGCAGTGGATACCCACTCTCTAGAAACCACATGGCCCTCCCGCTGTGGCCTGGAGCTTGAGATTGTAACATAGTAAGAAGCCAACTCTTGGAGACTTCTGCTGTGGGATGGTCTGTATGTCAAATTGCTCTGATTGGTCAATAAATAAAACACTGATTGGCCAGTGGCCAGGCAGGAAGTAGGTGGGACAAGGAGAGAGGAGAGTTCTGGGAAGAGAAGACTGAGGCAGAGAGACACTGCCAGCCACAGCCATGACCAGCAACCTGTGAAGATGCCAGTAAGCCACCAGCCACATGGCAAGGTATAGATTTATGGAAATGGATTAATTTAAGCTATAAGAACAGTTAGCAAGAAGCCTGCCACGGCCA